GCCTCCCCGGCTAAGTCGTCACGTTTTCTGTTTTGCGTTAGGGCGCAAAGCCGGGGGGATGGCTCCCCTGGCGCAATCGTCGCCGCGGATGGAGCTGGAGAGCCCGAACATGCAGATGAGGATCGGGAGCAGCACGATGACCAGGGCGAGGAACTCGCACTACGAATCGAACAGGAGACGAGGAGACTGACCAGGCAATGTGCAATGCACAGAAGAGCACTGGGCAAAGCTATGACGGAACGCAGACAGGAGGAATTATGGAGAGCGTGGGAACAAAGGGACTTGGCATCAGTGGGGAGACTATCGAGACTTATCTCGGCAGGCAGATGCGGAACACGAAAAAGAGACTAATGGACAGTTGCGACGTCGCAACCAGCAGCAGAAGAGTGGACAGAGTTCTGGAGGAAACCCAGAGGAGAAGGGGGGATGCTAGGTGAAAAAGTAGCCCCCGCTGACAGCTTCAGCGATATCGAGAACGACGGGGAAGTGCGGAACGATCGCGAGGGCTAGCAGAAGTACTTGGTGCGCATTTTTCGGCAAAAAACAAAACAACAAACAAACGCAGTTGAGAGGAGCAGTCCCAGCTACATCAGTGCCGAGTGACATGTGGAGAGTTATGCCGGCAGACCCCGAGAACGGGAAACAACCGCGCGGGCTGGGATGCGACGCGAACATCGAGGTACGAGTGCAGGACAGAGCGCTCGTGCAATGGCATTGCAACGCGGCGACAGCAGCCAAGAATAACGACAAACCAGAACCGGCGGAGAAACGCATCTACCACATACTTGACCCGCTGGGCAAGGCTTTCTACGCAACCTGATCGGCAAGAGCAAAGAAAAGAGAGTTCACGGATCAGGATTCGTGCGAGGACGACGATTAAGAGGGGCCATTATCACGGCGGCTATCGTGGAGCACCGTGCCAGGCAGAGCGGAAGGTGTTTTCTGACTTCGATGACAGACATGAGCAACGCATTCGCCAGCTGGTCGATTGGGCGCCGCGAATTCTAAGATATTACCACCGCAGATGCGGAATCTCTGCGAAGAAAGATTTAGGGGGGCGAGATTCCAGGTCCCGTGCAGAGACGTGGTCGATGGGCACCATGATACACCCGTGGTGCGGGGGCTTGATGGGCGACCCGTGCGTGGCGCAGAACTTCGCGGCGGCTTTCGCCCCTGGAGTTCGAGACTGGATCGCCGACTGCTTGCAGCAGCTCACGCGCGATCGCTTGCTGCGGGGGCAGTTTTCATTTTTCCAGGGGCCGCTCTACGTCGGAGTCGCCAAGTACGCCGGCGACCTGAGAAAGCTGCTGCTCGGGCCGCGCGAGCCCGGCGCGCAGGAGCCCGCCCGGGGGGCGCAGCTAGCAGACGATCTGCTAGACTAGACTGCGCCCGATCGGGCCCCAGCAAGATAAAGGAACATAAGAAGGCATCGTGCGCTTCGGGGGAGCTGGGGCCGCGAAAGCACATCGAGATATAGAAAAGCTCGGGGCCCCAGGGGACATGTTGCCAGCTGCGAGATGCCTGGGGCCGTTCGTGGATTCGAAACAAAGCAGAGGTCCCATCGGGAATTGGGAACCTTCTGGCACCGAGCGGGCATGGCGCGCAAGTGGAAGAGGGCGATGCTGATCCGTCGAGTCTCGAACGCAGGGTTGAGCTGCATCGAATGCTACCTTCCCGCGAGCGCGGAGCGCGAGGAGATGCATCGTGCCATGGGGTGCCCCCTGACACGTGCGATGAGGGGGGGGGAGGGGGGGCGCGACGGCGTCAGAAACAGGAAGACACACGGGCCTGAGTACGGCGCAGGCGTTCAAGCACCGGAAGCCCCCCCATCCCGAGCACGAGGCAAAAGTTAGGGGACTTAGCTGGGCGAGGCACATCTTCAGCAAGCCACGACATAACTAACAACTATTCGTCGCGATGTTCGGGGCCCTGGATCTCGAGATCCACGAGGGGGGCCTAGAGGACCGATGGGGTACCAGCAACCCTTGGGTCAGGAGATTCGCGCGGGACATGAGGGGCGCGGTCGAGTGCGCGGAGAGCTTCTAGGAGGCACTTCAGGAACAGGTGATCACCCCGGAGGTATTATTTTCCAGCGAGATCCAGAATCACGTTTTCCGATTCGATGTCCAAGAATTTCGCCAATGCAGTCTTGGCTGCAGTATCCCTCCAGCGGAGAGGAACAAAGAGAGAACGGATGAACAGATGGAGGAGGAGGCGCTAGAGGGGGCTAGTGGATGGAGATGCGAGCTTCACGAATCGCAAGGCGCCCAGGAGTCATGGCATCAAACGCCACCACAGACGCAACCTCGCGGCGATCTTTGCCACGAATATTCAGCGCATTCATTGCAAACAAACGCTCGCATGCAGATGCAGCGTGGAGGCGCTCGTCGAGATCAACGACCAGATGTTCTTATATGAGAGATAGGACTCGAAAGCAGTTCGAGCCGACGCTTGTCGCCGCGAGGTGCCCGATCTGCAGACATTCCGAGAGAGAGGGGCATTTATTTCGCCGGGATCTTCGCACGTTTTTGCCTCGCACATTTCAGTGGCATGAGCGCGCTCGAGGACGCGCCGGCGCGGGCGGGCTCGAAGAGGGGGGCGGGCGCGCAGCCGACGGGCCGCGGCAACAAGAAGGGCCGCCAGGGCGACCAGAGCAAGGGCCGTTTGCTGCAAACGGCGAAGCTCGCGCTCACCGTGGCCAGAGAGACCGCGGGGCTGACGTCGGCAGCGATCGGGGCACGGGAGGTGGGCGCAGTGTGCTCGGCGGACAGCGTCGGGCCTCAAGCCGGCGCCGATCGCGACGAAGGTGCGCGGGACCTCGAGAAGAGGGCCGGGACAGACGAGGGCGTCGACCTCGGCGCCCCTGGCCCGCCCCGCCTCGTCGCGCGGCCCAAGGCGGCGCAGGGGCTAGGCCAAGACGCGACGGGAGAGGCGCTGCAGACGCCCGAGAAGCACTGCGAAGATGTGGCGACGCAGAAGGACGCGGACAGACTGGGCCCCAGCATCATGATCTTCCGCGCGAAAAAGAACAAGGGAAGGGCGGCCCAGGGAAAGGAACGAGCGAGAGCCCAGTTCACGTTCAATCCAGAGTATGGCGTGATCAGGAACATCTTCGCGGCAGCGCTAATGGCGCAGGGGGCGAAGAGGAAGCGCGGGGCCGCGCCGAGGGGGGCGCTCGAAAGGGACGTGGGGAGATTAGTGAAGTGAGTGAGAGGCTAGCAGCGAGAGGCGTCGAGGTTTTGACAGGCAGGTCAGCGCTCCCTCACCTCATTCCTCCCGCCTTCACCAGCAGCGCCAGGTTTAGACGGCTGGCGAACTCAGGTCGTCTCCCTTTCCCCAGGCCCCCTCCCGACGCTTTCCGAGAGATGTATTTTTTCGAGCCCCTTGCCATTCCAGTTTCTAATTCACCGCCTCCCGAGCCGACGCCTGAAGGGCGGGGGGCGGGCGCGGGTCGTCGTCGGTCAAGGGCAAGGGCAAAGGCCGAGGGAGCAGGACAGGCCCTCCGCGTGAGTGGCGAGGTGCGGATTGGGCCCGAGCGTCTGCCGGCGACTGCAGGCCCTCTGCGAAGTGACAGACCACGCAGTGATCTCAGCCAGGTCTCTTGATGGCGACTAGGGAATGAAGCAGAGCCCTAGAGAAGCCGTTTCAGCAGGGATCCCAGGTAGGTCAAGGTCAAGGTCATCCTGGCGTTCTTTTCCGCCATTGTAATGTTCGCCGTCCCACTTTAAAACAAATTGTTGCAATGGTGCCGGTCGCTCATGGCGTGGCTCCTCTGTTTCGGCAGGAGGCGCTGTGCAGGTTCTCTGTGCTGATTTGCTCCCTCTCTCTTTCTGTTTCTCTCCCTCCTTGCCCTCTTCGCCTTCTTGCTTCTCCCCATGGATGCGGCTGTTTTGTGCGGCATCTCGTCCACGCCAGTTGTTCATTCAGTTGGCCAGGCCGTTTTGGTTGGCCGGACCACTCAATCTGGTGTTTTCTCGCATGCGCGTCGAGATGTATGGAAATCCACAACTTGCGCGTGTTGAAGTCACGTTCGTGCTGCCACTCACGCTCTGGAGTGGGATGCTTCTGGGGCGCAGCTCAAGATTTCCGCGGTTTATGGAGCGCTTTGATATTGGAGGTCGTTGGGGTACCCCCCAAGAGGGGAGCGGACTGGGCAGTGGTCGTTCATCGATTGTCATTCGATGCCACCATCAATCCCGGTGGGGATAAAACGAATGACAGCACAGCAACAACAATATCAGCATCAAAACCGCCATTACCACCATCACCATCACCATCGCCATCATCGTCGTCGTCATCTTCATCACCGCCGTCGTTACCGTCGCCGTCTGTCATCATCGTCATCATCATCATCATCATCATCATCGTCATCATCATCATCATCATCATCATCATCATCATCATCATCATTGTCATCATCATCATCATCATCATCATCATCATCCTCATCGTCAGCATTGTCCGTACGATACGTTCAGTCGTGACAAGTAAAAACGCCAGGTCGTCTTCGCATGTCGCTGGTTGTTTGGGGGGTGGGTGGGTGTCTTCCAGTCCCCAGGCCACGGGACCGGGACCTGGATCGGTCTGGCGTGCTCGCTCGCCCTCTCCTTGGCTTTCCCCGCTGCGTCGTGGAAGCGTAGGACTCGACTGCCGCCGCTTTTCGACGGTCTTGACGTAAGCATTGATGGCCTTCTTTCCATGTCCATGATGCAGGGTCCTTGGGTCTCTGCGCTCCTCGCCCTGCGCGGTGACTTCCCGCGACCCGTTAAGCTGCTGCTTTCAGGGTGTTTTGGGTTCCCCTCGATCCCATTCAGGTCGCGGCTTTCAGGGTCGGGTTTCTTTGCGATTGTTCCTTGCGGCCGCGTCCGCACTGCATGTTTGCAGCGTGAGCTCGCGTAGACTAGGTCCCGCCGTTTTTTTCTGACGGCCCTCTCAGGCAAATTCTAGCCCCTTAAACTCGAGGATCGCGTCTCCCTGGCACTCGCCGACGCGGCGCGGAGGGTGGGCGGCATGCGGCTCTTCTTCGGGCCGTACCCCGAGAAATCCATCTTCAACCATCTGGGGAGCAACTTCGACACATTCAGAAACGTGGAGCCCATGCTCGTGCTTCCCAGGTGCGGCTTGCCATTTTGTGACTTGTCTCTTGGCCCTCAAGGGAGAGGATCTAGGATGATGCGGATGATGACGACGATGCTGATGATGATGATGATGATGATGATGATGATGATGGTGATGGTGATGGTGATGATGATGATGCTGGTGTCCATGATGATGCTGTTCATGATGAGTATGATCATGCTGATGATGATGATGATGATGATGATGATGATGATGATGATGATGATGATGATGATGATGATGATGATGATGATGAGTTCAATCATGGTGATGTTGATGCTGACGATGCTGACGATGTCTGTTCAAATGGTGCATGCGAAGTTTGCGACCATCATGGTCCAAATCACTTTGGAGAGCTTTGTCGCGACCTTCGGCTTTGAGGCAGGGTGTGGGAGTGATGACATCATGTCGGTTCTGCATCAAACGGTGCTATTGCCCACCATTGGGGTTCCATTACTGTTCTTTATGTTGTGGATGTCAGGTTCGCCTTTGAAAGCATTCGGCATCTTGTTTTGCAGGAGGCGTTCATGGCGCGGAATGTTCATCCGTGTGTGATTCGTTCAATCGTTCGTGAACTCTCGTACCTTGAGGGGCGCATCACGGTGCCTGAATCAGAGCCGTCTGGACGTTTCCCAATTTTCGTTGGAGGCCAACAGGGAGGCCCCGAGACCCTTCAGCTGTTCACTTACCTGCTAGAGTTCTTGTTGCAGCCTGTGGTCGACAAGTGGAGGGATATGTATCGCGGCTTTCGCTTTGGCGATGAGGATGTGGATCTTATGTCGCGAATGGTGTCAGCTGGCAATGTATTTTTGCTTGTTGGGATCGCTACAATCATGGTTGACGTGGACGCAGTCTTCTGTGGAGTTCATGGCGTGCGGACTTTCCTCAGTTGTTGGTTCCTGAACGTACGGCCCCCCGAAGAGTATTTGCCATGCAGGCTTTGGGGGTTCAGTTGGCAGCGCCTGGGAAGACAGCGGAGGCCATGGAACACAGACTGTGCAAGGCCGAGGGCTTATTTTTGGAAGCACAGCCAGATCTTCAAAGGCTCCGCGTCACCCGAGGCTAAACTTCGAGCGCGGTGTCACGGCCCATCCGCATCTGCGATGTTTGGGTCATGTTCCTGGCGGCTAAGCCAAACTCTTTTGACGAAGCTAAAGGAAAGGGAGTGGAAGTTTTTGCGGACACCTTGTGGGTGGCGCTGGAGACCAGACGGTAGCCATATGACATACAATATGGGTATATCCGATCGTAATTGACATGTGTTCGATACATTCCAGAACTTGCCGCTGTATTTGAGGGTGCTGAAGCAAGTGTGCGCGCATGCCTGGAGAGAGACATCGTGTCCCACCGTCGGGGGCGCAAACTTCTCTTGGAAGTGCAGGACGTTTCGCGACAGAAGCTGTTGGGACTACTTCAGAACGCATGGCCGGTATGCTAAACGGACGCGCGATGATCTCCTCTATGCATTCGCAGGTACATACACACACTGGGATTGCATATTTCGTGATGTTTTTGGCGTGGATTGGCGAACCAGCCGGAGGGGCAGTTGCGCTTGCAAAGGATTGGTTGCGTCAATTCGGTGATTCCGCGCCGTTGGTGTGTGTCCAGTACGGTCTGCCACTCTTGGGGTTAAGCGCGAGTGCTCTTGGAAACGCTGATAATGCCGTAACAAGGGAAGGTTGGGCCAGCCGCGACCAGAACGCGCAGCATACGCTGGACATTTGCCCTGGGGAACATGTTGATACAGGTCTGAGCATTTTCCGTTTAATTTTTAGCGGCTCCAGGCGCTTTTTTTCTGGCGTATCATTTTGCCGGCCTTTGATCGAGGTCGCCATGGGAAGGTCACCTCTGACGAATCTGGCCCTCGAACCTATTTTCCAGAGGATGTCACGCGACCTCGTTTGGTTGTCTGGTGCTGGCATGACGCCGCCTGCCCTGCACCACGACCCTGTGGTATGGCGCCGGCGATGGTTACAACCGCAAGGCCGACCACCTGGTCAATTACACCATGGACATCCAAGAGTCGTGTCACGAACTTTTTTCCGCCTGATCAGGACGTCAACGACGCAAGTTCCATGCTACATTTCGACGGTGACACCCAGAAAGATCAGTGTTCAGCGGTAGCGTGGATTCTCGAAATTCAACTTGGTGGAGAAACAATATTGTTAGCCAGTCTCGTCATTCATTGCAGAGTTACTGGCGTCGGAATTATGTACGGAGTCATTTAGAAGATTTTGGCGGAGCATCGTGCCCAACAACTTCTGAGCGGGGGGCTATTGCATTAGGGGCTTTAGCTGAGGCAGAAAGAGAAGGAGGAGGAGCAGCAGGAGGAGGAGGGGGAGGATAACGGGGAGGAGTTGTGGGAGGGGGGAGGAGGAGGAGGGGGAGGAGGAGGAGGAGGAGGAGGAGGAGGAGGAGGAGGAGGAGGAGGAGGGGGAGGAGGAGGAGGAGGAGCAGCAGCAGGAAGCGGAGGTTGGCAAACTTACGGCCTGAGGATGGCGACATTCATGACGAGTAGAAACATGATGCAAGGCTGCGAGAGATCGAATGATGAGGCATGTCAGGTGGCAGCGGGAAGCACTGGCAAGCCAAAAGAGCACTGGCTCCCAGCGAGATCGGCGGCGCCTACCCGGCATCTGGAAACCCGACGAAGTCGAGGTCGGCAGAGGCCGGGCATTTTTTCTCCGCTCCTCTTCCGGCGCAGTTCGCCTCAGCTTAGCGGGCGGGAAGTTTTGGATATCATGACCCAGGAGGGGAAAACACACAGACACGATTCATCCTCGACTCCCGATCGAATATGGGAAACTACGGGCAGTGGGCGGGAAGACAGAAACCCAGAAAATATGGGGAAATATGGGGGATATTTTAATTTGTGTGTATTTATTTGCGACGTGCTATCCACTTCGCGGTCCCCAGGCGTCCACGGCCCCGCGCCTTTCCCGGGCGTCCACGCCCCGCGGAGCGGAGCGGCGCGCTATCGGCTCGCAGGGCACAGCGTAGCGTGTCGCCAGGGCCGCCGCAGCGACACGCTAAGCAGGGCGGGGGGGGGAGGAGGAGGAGGAGGAGGAGGAGGAGGAGGAGGAGGAGGAGGAGGAGGAGGGGGAGGAGGAGGGGGAGGAGGGGGAGCGGGCCTCGCGGGCCAGCCCCTGGGCCGCGACCCCGCGGCTTCAGGGCGCTGTTTCGTGGATGCCCCTCGCGCAAGGTATCCACACGACCGCTACAGGATCGTGCCCCAGAGTCCAGACCCCGAGGGTGTGGACATGGACACGTTCGCCGCTCGTGACGGTTATGAGAGAGGTGGGTTTCCAGGCGGATGCTTTGGGTTTCGTTCGAAGTCTCGGCGGGCCGAAACCCTGAGCACGGGAAAGGGTCGATTGGCCACCCTCACGAGGTGCGCCTCTTTTGAGAGGCGCACTTCGCAATTCTCGACGCTTCGCGCACTCCCACCATCCCATCCAGAAACGATGGCCATGAGATCTGTGTGGAGAGGGGGGTCGTAGGCAAACACATTTGTGAAGCAGGGATGCCAACAATGGTGAAGTTGGAGACTTCGTGGAGGCAAGTGGAGCCATCTTGGTGCTACTTTAGGAGGCCTTTGGGGCTCTCTGTGGGCCGTCATGCGCCTGAAGCCTCTTGTGATGCTCGGCGTAGGCTCCAGCAGCACTTGGAGCCATCTTGGGGTCGTCTTGGGGCCTTTCGGAGGTATGCCGGAGGCTCTATTGAACCATCTTCGGCTATCTTGAGGCATCTTGGAGGCCATCCGTGGGAGGGGAGGGGGGGGAGGAGGAGGGGTCAACCTGCCCCCCGAAGGACGGCCGTCTCGCTCGCTCCAACCCGCCCTCGTACCACATAAGTAGCAACCGAGTCTCAGCATGGGCAGGGGTCGCCATCGACGATCACCGGGGTCCGATCAGGAGGGGGAAGACACACTGACACGATTGATTGTCGACTCCCAGGAGAGTGTGAGAAACTATGGGAAGTGTGGAGGGGGGGAAGACGACAACCCAGACTAGAGGGGGGAAGTATGGGAACTCCTGGGATCTGTGTCTACTCCTGAGTGTGTCCCTGGGCCCCTCGAACCAGTGCTGACGCCAGCCAGGGGCGCGGCGCTCGCAGGGTGCAGCGCGCCTGCCGGGGCACCCTCGCCACCCCTGCCAAGTCACGCTGCGGAGTGATCGCGGGGAGCCCGCGCATGATCAGGATTGATCTTTCGGAAGTGGATACACCTTAGGCGATGCTTAAGAAAACCTAAGTTTTCGGCCAGAGTCTCGATGATTCTTAATGTTTCGATGTGAATCCTAACATTTTAGCAGAAATTTTGGGTTTTTATCAAAGTTCTGAGACTATGAGTTTCTTAACCCATGATTTCTTAAGCATTTCGCAGGGTGTAGACCTCCTACCCTGACACGTCGATTAAGGAATTGGCCGTTTTTGGTTCGCGAGAGAGGGCGTCGCGGCCGTCAATTTTGGGGGATCCGGGTCCGTCGGCTTCGGTCCCAGGCCGTTTTCACTAGCGGGAGGTTTACCAAAGGGAGGTTTGTCCACCGCCGAATCTTAGGCCTACGCCACACCGCCGACCCCTTGGTTTTTCTCGGGGGCTTCCTGGGTGTCCCTGGGGCACGTTGGGGGCGTCTTGGAGCCGAAGGTTCGAAGTGTCCGTTCGGGAGGGGTTTGGGGAGGGGGAAGCATCTCAAGCGCCGATGATCGCCAAGGGGTCGGCGGATTTTGTTGCAACGTATATTTCGTACAGTCGGGGCGCCGAAGCAGGGACCCTGTTCGTCGGGGAGGGGCTCGGTGTTCCTGTACTGTTTTGCAGTTCGCCTCACGTTTTCCTGAGGTCTTCCACGGGAAAGCGAAGTTTAACCTATGGGGGAAAAGGGACCTCGTTCCTTGTTTAAGGGTTCCTTGGGTCAGCGCCCCGACTGTAACAATGCAATGTGATCGCGGGGAGCCAGCGCATGATCAAGATTTTGCTGCAACGTAAACTTCGTATTGTTGTTGGCATCGACGACGGGCCTGCGTGAAGCAGGCAATATGCCGTCTATGAGGTCCCTCCCCGTTGTCCCTGGTGCTGGGCCAGTGCCTGATCCAGATTCTGCCGCAATGTGCATGTTGTCATGTTTTTCTGGCAAGGGCGGTAGGTGGATTGTCTTGGTTCCGGGTTTGCCCCCGGCCATGTGGGGGGCAGCGATGGGCCTTCACTGGATAGGGAAGGAAGGCGTTGTGCTAGAAGAGGGAAGATAACAACTCGCCATACCACCTCCGCCCACATGGCTGGTGCGATACGTGTTTCCTCTTGCCTCCCCGCCAGGAGTTCGAAAACACCTCAGAGCTGGATTCCGCAGCCACTGAATGTTGGCTCGAGCCGGCGCTTTTTGGCTCGAGCACGCCCTTGTCTCTGAGCGACTCTCGGTGAAGCCTGCGCCGTCGGAGCCCTGCATGTATACGGACATGGCAGTACAACTGACGGCAATCATGCACGTCTTTGTCAGCTCAGAAATCCTGCCGAGCCCTGCGTGAAAGCAGCGAAACTGTCACTCGGTATCGTTTAACAAATCCCCATCCCCATCCCCATCCCCTTCGAGACCCCCTACGAATTACCACCCCAGTTGGGGATACACCCCTCGAAACCCAAGGGAACGACCTATATCTCCATCTAGGGGGGTAAGTCGGCCAGTGGGGCCTAGGCCACGCCGCTGGGGATGGGGATCGGTTAAACGATACTCAGTCACGGACTCCGATCCCTGACGCAACAATGAAGGTTCTCTGATGTTGGAACTTACGGCGATGGAGCAACAATGGAGGTGGCACATGTCCATGATGATGATGATGATGATGATGATGATGATGATTATGATGATGATGATGATGATGATGATGATGATGATGATGATGATGATGATGATGATGATGATGATGATGATGATGATGATGATGATGATGATGAGAGGGCCGACGGTGGTCCCTCATCGGAGTTCCGAAAGCTTCGCGGCGTCTCGATGCGGGGTTCGGAACTTTGTGTGACTTTTGCGTAATTGCGCTGGATTCGGACTTGGTTTTCAATTGTTTTTTGCGTCGGGACTTTGTCGCACCCCGTCTTTCCAATACTGTGCATGGCTACTGTAACCTGGAGGCGATCCCGGGATCCCGCGATCCGAGGCCCGAGGGCGCCGGTCGCTCTCTTAGGATTCTAGGGCGGTTGGGGGGGGAGCGCGCTGCTATACCCCAAAGAAGCGAATTCTCTTCGCACGCGCGGGCGCAGTGCCCTGCTCACGCCCCGCAGTCTGCGTCGAAATTAAGAGCTGAATCGGACAGCGGCTGCAGTATGTCCCTCTGCGCCCCGTTCTTGCCGCCCGGGGGGCCCGTAAGAGGATGAGGGGCCCTGGACTGTTCCAGCCAGTGCCCTGTCGGCCGATCCATCAGCACGTGACCCGGGTGTGTGCTCATGCAGTTGCCTTGTTGTATTGCGGGCCCCACGGCCAGGTACCCAGCCAGCGGGGTACCCAGCTGGAGGTCATTAGATCTGCGGTATGCTGGTGGGTCCCTTCCGTCTCGGGAGTGCGCCCTGGTCGGGGGAGCACGCCCAGTCCACCGAGGGAGGTGCGCACAGGGCGGCGCGAGAGCGCGCGAGACCCCAGGATTTGGAGCAAGCATGGTACAGCGAGTGATCCGCGGTCGCGATGTCCGCACGATGCTCGAAGGAAAAGCGACGTATACCTTCACCTTTGAAGGTCCGCGCGGGTTCTTGGGCTTGTGCTGTACCATCCTGGCGGCGCCTCCGGCGCCGCCCCTGGCGCTTTCCGCGCGCTGGACAGGGGTGTCCAGCGCCGATCCAAGAAATCCGCGGGCACCTCCACATGTTTGTGCTTATACGGGCTTTATGTTTATGTTGATTCTTCCATTACGCTTTGCCTAGGGGTCCTTGCTTCTCTTGTGGCCCAATGCGGTGAAACCGAACTCCAGCCAGCAGCTGCTGTGTGCCTTTGCGCGTTGGTTCCTGGGCCCTCGGTTTCTTTGTTTTGCGTAGTTGTGCTGTGCAATGCAATGCCATTTTATGCTAAGACGCGTAGGTGCCATTCTATATATTTTGCACCCACGCAATGCTATGCAATGCCGTGCCATGCTGCACTATTCTACGCAATGGTTGGCAAACGACATGATGTGCACTGCTGTGTAATGCTGTGGTGCTCTGCAGTGTGCGATGCCATGCTATGTCATACCATGTAATACTCCGCAGCGTTACGTGAGTTAAGATCTTGCATCTTTTGGTGTCACTACGTGAGGGGTGACATGTTGCGGTGTGTACGTGCTGAGATACCATGGTATGCAATGCGATGCCATGCTATGATTATCTGCTTAGCCATTGTGTATCATGCTACGCCATGCGATGCGATGGTGCAATGTTGTGTTAGGCATTGTTTCTGGAGTGTCATGATATGCCATGCGATCACACGCCAAGTCACAATGCCAATCAAATGCCGATCAATGCAATGCTATGCTGTGCGATGCTGTGATCTGCCATTGTGTGCTTTGCTATGCCGTGGCATGGTATGATAAGCTGTGCCATGCCGTGTCTCGCTCATATCGTATTTATGATAGCGGATCATGGGATACCATCTGAGACTTGCTTCTCAAAGATGGGATACCCTCTTACTTGTGGATCGCACCACCGGGCTCACATGTTTGAGTGGCAGCACGGCCTGTGAGATTTCAGCTGGTTTATTTTCCGCGAGTGCAGAGGATGCGGAAAGTGGGTGCTGGCTTGGAGAAGGGAAGCGGGTGTTGCGAGAGGGGAGGGGAAACGTTTTCTTTTCGCTTGCGTCCATCGCCTGCGCCTGTTCCCCTTGCTCTCAATTTTCCGCGGACGTCGCCGTGCTTTTCGCCAGTCGTTCCGCAGCCGCCGGCATCGCTCCCATCGCCCCTCCCTCCCTCCCTCTGCCGTTCAGGATCAGGCCCAGCTGGCTCAGCTCGTGCTCGGGCTCCTCAACGCGTTCCTGGGGATACTAGGACGGGTGCTCTGAGTGGGGGGGGGGTGGAAGGGAGGGTAGGAGGAGGAGGAGGAGGAGAAGGAGGAGGAGGGGGAGGGAGGGAGGTCGAAGGGGCACGGGGAGGCGCGGGGAATAGGGGAGGGAGGGGAAGGCAGGGAGAGAGGCTGTCCCTTTGCGCTGCCGGGGGGCTGGGGCACATGCAAAGAAACGAGCCAAGTCGCCTGGTGCTCCGAAAACCGAGCCAGTGTCGGCCGGAGGGGGGTGCAGGCAGGGCTCAGGGGCAACGATAGGCGGGGATAGGCTCCTGGGGTGATTTATCGACCCCCAAACGCTCATTCTTCGCCGATAGGGGCCTGATAGCCCACCCCGCCCAGGGACGAACAGATTCGCCACGGGGGGCCCAGCGCCGATCTATCGGCGATGTATCGCCGATTCAAGCTCGAAGTTCCCCCCCCCGAGCTAGCCCCCCCCCTATCGTTCCCCCTCACATGCACCGGTACCCTGCCGCGCAAAGCAATCTCGGCGCGAAATGGCGCAGGTACGGCAGCTTCGGTGGTGACGACGGCAGCGATGGTGGTGGTGGTGGTAATGATGGCGACGGCGACAACGACAACGGCGAGGACGAGGACGGGGACAAGGACGAGGATGATTATGATCATGCTGATGGTAGGTCTGACGATGAGGATGATGATTGTGATGATGATTATTATGATGATGACAATGAAGCTGCTGGTAATGGTGGTGATGATGGTGGTGATGATGATGGTGAAGCTGCTGATGATGATAACGGTGTTGACGATGATGATGGCAAAGCCGATGATGCTGATGATGGTAACGATGCTGATGCTGATGATGATAATGATGATGATGATGATGATGATGATGATGATGATGATGATGATGATGATGATGATGATGATGATGATGATGATGATGATGATACCGAGGATGATGATGCTGATGATGATGCGATGATGCTGATGATGATGTTCATTATGATGCCCTACTCTTTGGCGCGGATGATGATGATGCTGATACGGATGATTATTCTCATGATGATCATTATGATGTTGAAGTTGCTGCTGCTGATGATGCTGGTGATCATGATGCTGATGAAGCTGACGATGGTGTCGAGATGGTGATGGTGATGATGACGATGCCGAGGATGGTGCCGATGCTGATGATGAATCTGACGATGATGATCATGATGATGCTGTTGATGCTTATCGTCACGATTATGATGACTTCGATGATGATGACGTTGTTGATGTGGATGATGATGATGATGATGATGATGGTGGTGATTGCGATGGTGATGTTGATGGTGGTGGTGATGATGATGGCAATGCAATCATGTTGATGATGCTGATGGTGATGGTGATGATGAATACGATGATGACGACGACGACGATAACGAAGATGATGGTGATGATGAGGATGATGATGATGATGTTGATGATGATGGTGATGATGATTAGCATGCCGAGCCTGGTGACAACTGATGTCGACGACGCTGGTGATGTTAATGACGGCTGCGATGGTGATGACGATGCCGACGACGGCGATGATGTCGTTGTCGAGGTTGCTGTGATGGTGAGGATGAGGAGGATGAGGATTGGGATGCTGATGATGATGATGATGCTGATAATGATGATGATGATGATGATGATGATGATGATGATGATGATGATGATGATGATGCTGATGGTGCTGATGATGATGATGATGATGATGATGATGGTGACGCTGATGATAATGAGGTTGATGACTGTGATGCTGATGATGATGATGATGACTGTGATGATGACGATGTTCAGGATTAGGATCATCCTGACTTTGATATGGCGATGATGGTGACGGCGATGATGAAGATGACGATGACGATGATGATGATGATGATGATGATGATGATGATGATGATGATGATGATGATGATGATGATGATGGTGATGGTGACAGTGATGATGACTATGCGGATGACGTTGGTGAGATTGAAGACGATCTGTTGGTAATGGTGGTGGCGGTGGTGATGACATCAGGAGGAGTATCAGCAAAAGCATTCGGACCAGGAGGCGTATGTGCGGGGGAGGATTTCGGATTTTGGAGTCGTCCTGCTGCGCGCGCTGGCGATCAGCCCCTAAGAGCAACAATAAGAAGGACGTCGCGGCAACGACCAATACTAACGACAGACGCTGGCGATATCACTGTGAGGAGCAGGGCGGTAGGTAGCACGCCCTAAGGCGACGCATCCGAGGCGAAGAGCTCGCTTGCTCAGCTCATGTCCGCTCTGAGGCAGTGGCCGCGGCAGAGGGATGGAGCTTAGTGATGCCCCTGCTGCCACGCCTCGTCGTTGCTCGGCGTGTCGCTGGAGACCGAATGGGTCTGGCGGTTGCCACCAGCTCGGAGTCCGTAAGGTCCAGCCCAGTACCAAGACGCGGGTCACACGCTGAAAGGCAAGCGGGGGCGAGGTCCCCAGCTCGACCAGGTGCTGCAGAACACCCAGGAGGAGCCCACACACCACGTGCGTAGCTGTGCTGGTCGGTTTCATGCTGCCTATGAGGGTCGGCGACAGGCAGCGCACAAGCAGGCAGCCTTTGATTCAGTGGATCTCAGCACCTGCTTCTAGTGCCCTACCTTCAACACGACCCTGAGCAGCTGCAAAACAGGGACGGTCATCACATATACATACATAAACACTGTGATCAGGAACAGAAGCACAGGCAGTGCCCACTCCTCATCGCATAAACACAGGAGGGCTGGTGCCGGCAGGACGCTCATCGCGCAAACACAGGCAGTGCTCCACGGGAGGGCGGAGCCCACCCGCGTGGGTTTGCAGCCCTGGCTGACACACAGCGGCAGAGGCGCGCAGCAGCCGCACCGCCCGCGCATGAGCCCTGCCCGACCGGGCTGTGCGCTTAGCTGCGGTGCGGCGAGGAGGAGGAGGAGGAGGAGAAGGAGGAGGAGAGGGAGGAGAAGGAGAAGAAGAAGGAGGAGGAGGGGGGAGGAGGAGGAGGAGGAGGAGGAGGAGGAGGAGGAGGAGGAGGAGGAGGAGGAGGAGGAGGAGGAGGAGGAGGAGCCGAAGGAGTTACTGGAGTTACTGGTTTGCGGACCAGAGGAGCAGGAGGAGGACGGTGCGGGCGACCATGGGCTGCGCGCCACGGCGGCAAGCAGGGCGTTCCGGAAGGGGCCTCGCCTTCGGCGCCTCTCACCCTCGGCGGGAGGTGGCAGAAGGCCGGCGGAAGCTGGCCGAAGTTGGGGTGAGGGTATAGAGGGTGGGATTTTGGAGCCCAAGCCTAGCTTCCTGGCTCAGCTCATTGCCTATGCCCCGAAGCACCCTTCGGGCTCACTGCATCTTGTGAGTAGCAAGTGTCAGCGCCGAGACATCGGTAGGCCTGTAGGCTAGCCCACCGCAAAACTTCCAGCCGACAGTTCGAGGGAGTAGCGACCTGAAACAAATAAGTAAAACTGCCGCGGTTGCGTCAGCAGAAGGTCGGTGGAAGGTCGGCGGAAGGCGGCGGAGGTTCTTGCCGCCGCCTGCTCGGCGATGTGTCGTACGGGGTCGGTCACCGATCTGCTCGCGATTGCTCGTCCATGTGCCGACGGCCGTCCGCGCCGCGCGTCCTGGTTCAGCGTGGGCGTTCGTTCTGAGCGCACCTGCGAGACGTTTTTTTTTTTTGTTTGTTGTTGTTGTTGTTGTTGTTGTTGTTGTTGTTGTTGTTGTAGTGGCGCTTGCCGTCCAAAGCAGCTGCGCCTACGAGGAGGCATACATGAGCAGTAAGAGTGAGGCGTCTGCGCTTTGGGTTCAGGGCTTCTGGAGTCAGCAAATTGAGGGGATGGCAAGACGCGGATGGCGAACGGGGCGGAGGAGGAGGATGTGGAGTCGGAAGCGGGCTGTCTTGGAGCCATCTTGGAGGCCTCTGGGGCCGTCTTGGGAGGTCGGAAACCCAAACAGGTAAGAACCTCAAACATCTACGGGGAATTCAGCGTTTTTCGCCTCCTCGGGCTCTCCTGCAGGGCCTCTTGCAGTGACCGCTTTGGGCCGTCTTGGAAGCCTCTCGGGCCGTCTCGAGGCCGTCTGGGGGCCTCTTATGCAGTCTTGCGCCATGCTGGGCCGTCTTGGTGTCATGTTGGCCGCCCTCGAAGCCGTTTGGGAGCCATCCTCGCCGTCTGGAGGCGGAGAAGAGCGGAGCGCAAGTTCAGGGGGGCGTTTTTTTAGGGGTGCGCGCGATGAGGGGGGGGCGGCCGCCCCCCAGAAAACACAAGAGAACCTTCCAGGCAGCATACGAGCAGTCCAACACGCCAACTCCGTGTGCATACACGGTGGCGATTAATCATCGACGTCGGTATCGATAGGTGATCGTTGTCTTATTCCTTGTTTTGCCGATCGGCGCGGGCCCTCGCACCCCCCCCTCCCCCCCCCACATGGAGTAGATCTTGGCTGTTTTTGGCGCCTGTTTCAAGCAGGTGGAGTCTTCCCCACAGGACGCACTGCTGCAAACAGTGGCAGGAAGCAGAGTTCCGGAGCCAGACCCCCCCCCTCCGCCCAATGTCGAAACGCCGAATAAGAAAACGTTCACGAGTGAGCCAGTCTCCTAGAGTGTTTCTGGCTATCCTTCTCGTCCTCCCTGTTCCCGTCGCCCCCTCGTGCCAGCGCTTCGTTGCTCTCTCTCGTTTCTCTTCGGACCATGTCTCGTTCAGCGGGAGGGCTGGCATCTCCCCCCTGCGGCCCCGAAGCCTCATCCCCGCCGGTGATCTCGGCCTCAGCTCGTCACTCGTCACTTGGTTTGTGCGGAGTTACCAGTCTGCTCATCTCCAGGGAAGAAGCACGATGACCATGACCGAGATTTGGTAGGATCTCGTCTACTCCGATCTCGGTCATGGTCCATGCCGGCTGTCGCCGATCCGCAAAGATGATGCAAGGATTGATAATGACCAAGATGGGCGATTACCAAGACAGGCACCGCCGTTTATTCGTTCAGTCTTGGTCCTGGTCCTCGTGCTCTCCCCCCTCCATCGATCGTGCGTTGCGCTCCTGGCCTAGGCGCTTCTTGTCCGCCGCGAAGGCGTTCAGTGGTCGCTGCCGGGTGTTTTCCCATACGCCGATGGCTGCTCGGTGATGCGTGTGCGAGCACGCCGCGCAGGATTGGCGCTGTTCGGCATTTCGATCTACAACCTGGCCACGTGTGTGCAAAGCTGCCCCGTCGGCAGCGCGATCAGGCCCGCGGGGTCCCATTTTTCCAGGAGGAAGAGGAGGAAGAGGAGGAGGAGGAGGAGTAGGAGTAGGAGTAGGAGTAGGAGTAGGAGGAGGAGGAGGAGGAGGAGGAGGAGGAGGAGGAGGAGGAGGAGGAGGAGCAGCAGCAGGAAGCGGAGGTTGGCAAACTTACGGTCTGACATGCCTGGGTTCCGTCTTGCCGTTCGTGCTGCGGGGCGATGGCGACGACGACGCGTTGGACCCCTCGCGGGCCCCGATCCTGCAGGACAGCCCTGGCCCAGCAGCCCTAGCCGCCTTGCAGGCGTATGTGGGCCGACTGCGGGAGCTCCGGGCCGCAGGGCTCAGTGCGCAGGCGCGGCTGGTGCTCCTCCGGACTTTTGTCAACGGCGCCACGGTCCACTTGCAACGGGGCCTCCATGCTCCCCAGGCGTGGTGCGATTCCCTGGACACCGATGTCGTGGTCTTCGTCGAGGAGCTGCTTGGCGTGGCCCTTTCGGCAGCACAGCGGACGCAGATTTTCTTGCCTCTCCAGCTCGGGGGCTTGGGTCTGTGCTCCGTGGGCGCCAGGAGGCACGCGGCGTACGTCGGCTCCTGGGAACAGTTCTTTAGCGAGGTCGCCAGCCACGTCGGGTGCACTTCCGCCAGCTGCTTCTTCAGGGGTGCCCCGCGGACGCGCGCCGCAATCCAGGCAGCGGAGGCCGGTTTGCGAGCGCAGGGCGTCGCCGGCGTCGTGCCCTGGGAATGGCGATTCGGCAGCACGGTCCCCCACCAGCAGAAGATGTGGACGAAGGCGGTTCACCAGGCTGCGCACGCTGGCCTCCTCCAGTCCCTCCCAGACGACGAGAGGGTCGATCTCCGTTCGGCCGGAGGCAAAGGCGCGGGGAGCTTCCTGCTGGCGCCTTCGCTGGAGGAGCATCTGATGCCGGACGCGCACTTCATAGCGGCCGCTCGAATGCGCTTGCGGGCCGCCGTCCATGCGCCGGGGCGCAGGTGCCAGCATAAGTCAGGGGAGACCGGCGCCGTCTGCAACGAAGAGCTGGACGGCAGGGGCCGCCACGGGCGGATCTGCAAGACTGGCGGTGGCGCCGTTGCCCGGCACGACCACGTCCGCGACTGGCTGGCGGCTTGGGTGGCCAAGGTCGCCGGGCGGACTGCCTTGACGGAGCAGTTCGTGCCCCGGTGGGACCGGCGGGTTCTGGGCCCAGACGGGCGCGAGCGCATCGAGCGGGCAAAGTTTGACGTCGCGCTCGGCAACGCCAGCGGTCGCCGGGTGTACGTGGACGTTGCCGTTGTAGAGGCTTCTTCGCCAGATGGGCATGAGCGGCGGCAGCGGGCCGCCAGAGACGGAGATGCGGCAGCAACGGCAGAGGACAAGAAACGCGCGCGCTATCCCGGGCCTGGCCTGACACCTTTTGTAATCGAGTGTCTCGGCCGGGTCGGTGAGAGCGCCGACGGGCTCTTGTGTTCTCTGGCCCCGGCGGACCCCGCCGAGAGGTCGCGGGTGCTGGGGGCCACCCGGCAGAGCCTGTCTGTATTAGTACAGATGGGCAACGCCGAGAACGTCCTCTCGGCCGGCTAATCGGCTCATGTCCACTGCAGTTTTCTACCTATTTAGCAAACCTCTCCTCCTGTTCCCTCCTCCTCCTCCGCCGCGTCCTTCTCCCTTTCCCTCCTCCTCCTCCGTAGTCGTTTTGGCTACGCCCGCGCGCGCTGCACGCTCGCCGCGCGCTCGCCTCAGCTGCCCGCCTCCAGCGCCTCTTCTCCCTCTCCCTCTCCTTCTTCTTCCCCGCTCCCAGCCTCCGGCGCGCGCGGCGCGCGCGCGCGGCGCCTAACGGTGGGGTTAGGTGGCTCACACCCCGCGGCCGCGCCCGCGTCTCCTCCGCCTCCCGCTTCCTTCCGGCTCCCTCTTCCCCTCCTCCCGCCTCCTCCAGCTCGGTGACCAGCTGTGCGGCTCTGGGACGGCGTCAAGACGATGCTGCCCCAGGAGCCACTGGAGTTGTTGACGGACTGTCCTCTTCCTCTCCCCTTCGCTTCTTGTCCGCCCTTTCTTGTCCCTTGCTCGCGTCTTGCCCGCTTTCCTTTTCTTTTCAGCCGGAGGAGGAGGAGGAGGAGGAGGAGGAGGAGGAGGAGGAGGAGGAGGAGGAGGCAGGAGGAGTTGGAGGAGGATGAGGAGGAGGATGAGTAGGAGGAGAAAAGAGGAGGAGGAGGCAGGAGGAGGAGGAGGAGGAGGCAACCTTTCCCCCCAACCCTCCTGCGTTGGTTGTTCGTTTTGAATAGAGCACTGTGGTCTCCACCTTCCTCCCGCCTCCCTCCCTTCTTCTTCTCCCCTGCCTCTTACCACTCTTGCCTGCTACCCTGCTTCGTATCTCGTCGATCTGCCTGGATGTTCGGTGGGGGGTTGCGATCCGCGAAACTGGGGGTCCAGCGGAGTGAGGCACCTCCCAGGCTCAGATTAGACGATTAAGCCTCACCACCCTTGGGGCTGCGATCTGCGAAACTGTCGCCACTTTCGAGACCTGGTGGGGGGTCCTGCGGAGTGGGGCACCACGCAGAGTCAGACTAGACCTTGCCATCCCTGGGGGGCTGCGATCTGCGAAGCTGTCGCCACTTTCGAGGCCTGCTGGGTGGTCAGCAGAGTGAGGCACCACCCAACAAGTATATTAAACCTCGCCATCTGTGGGGGGCTGCGATCTGGGAGACTGTCGCAACCTTCGAGGCCCGCTGGGGGGGCAGCGGAGTGAGGCACCAAGCAGAGTCATATTAGACCTCGCCATCCCTGGGGGGCTGCGATCTGAAAAAACTGTCGCCACTTTCGCGTCCTCCTTGCGGGTTCAGCGGGGTGAAGTCTTACGCGGACCACCAGGAGACCGCGCCATCCCTGTGGTCTAGCGGAGTGACGCCAGTTGTTGTTACCTAGGGGTTTGTTCGAACTTCGGGGTCGTCCAGAAAGAAGCAGGGGAGCCGGCGGCCGAGCTAGGCCTGGCTCGCTTTTTGCACTAATTTTAAACAGGATTTATAATTTGTCGAGCGCCGCGGCGACGTGGAGCAGGCAACGCTGCATCTTTAGCGCACTACCCACAAAAGCAACACTCTCCGGTTTTCTCCCGTCACTTTCGTCGTCGTCCTCTGCCCCCTGCCACCTTCCCTCTGTTGCTGCCGCGCTGACGGTTCGGCCCCCGCGCGTCTTTCTTCGACCCCTCGTTCCCGCCCCCATGTCCTCCTCAAGCTTGGGCCCTCGCTCCTGGCACTTTTGCTGCTGTCCTGTGAACCGTGCCGCGAGAGCGCATCCCATGTCGCTTGCACAAGATATGACGGTGCCTGCGCTGTCATTGTGCTGGCAAGTTCGGGCCAATTCTTCTTGCCACCTGACGCAAATGGGTTGGGTACGTCACACGGTTTTGTCCCAGTCTTCCTGCGTTTGGCACCCGTTTCGAATGGAGCACTGTGGTCTGCACCTTCCCCCCGCCTCTTTCCTTCCTCTTCTCCCTGCCTGTTTCTACTCTTGCCAGCCACCCTGCCTACCATCTCGTCGTCCTGCCTGGATGTTCGGTGGGGGGCTGCGATACGCGAAACTGCCGCCAGTTTCGAGGGCTGCTGGGGTCCAGCGGAGTGAGGCACTACCTAGACCCACATACGACTTCGCCATCCCTGGTGGGTTGCGTTTTGCGAAACTGTCGCCACTTTCGATGCCTGCTAGGGGGGTCCGGCGGGGTGATGCCCAGATTCAGATTCGACCTCGCCATCCCTGGGGGGCTGCTGGGGAGTCCAGCGGAGTGAGGCACCACGCAGACTAACATTAGACCTCGCCATCCCTGGGGAGTTGGGATCCGCGAGGCTGTCGCCACTTTCGAGGGCTGCTGGGGGGTCCAGTGGAGTGAAGCACCACGCAGAGTCAGATTAGACCTCGCCATCCCTGGGGGGCTGCGATCTGCGAGAACTGTCGCCACTTTCGAGGCCTGCTGGGGGGTCAGCGGAGTGAGGCACCACCCAAACTCATACTAGACCTCGCCATCCGTGGGGGGCTGCGATTTGCGAAACCGTCAACACTTTCGAGGCCTGCTTGTGGGTCCAGCGGAGTGAGGCACCAAGCAGAGTCAGATTAGACCTCGCCATCCCTGGGGGACTGGGATCTGCGAGTATGTCGCCATTTTCGAATGTTGTTGGGGGGTCCTGCGGAGTGAGGCACCACCCAGGTTCAGGTAAAACCTCGCCGTGTGTGGGGAGCTGCGATCTGCGAAAACTGTCGCCGTTTTCGAGGCCTGCTGGGGGGTGCAGCGGATTGAGATACTGCGCGGACTCAGATTGCACATCATCCTTGGGGGGCTGAGATCTGCGAGTCTGTCGCCACTTTCGATGGCTTCTGGGGGCTCCAGCGGAGCGACGCGCTACGCAGATTCAGATCAGACCTCAGCAGCCCTGGCGGGCTGCGATCTGCGAAAACTGTCGCCACTTTCGTTGGCTGCGGGGGCGTCATCCAGGGTCGCCCTGAACATGATTTGACGAGTTGTCCTGGGGGGGTAGCGATCTGCGAAACTGTCGCCATTTTCGTGGGCTGCTGGGGGTATTGACCTCTCCATCCCTGGGGGGGTGCGATCTGCGAAGCTGTCGCCACTTTCGAGGGCTGATGGGGGGTCCAGCGGAGTAGCGTCTTACGCGGATTCATGTCGAGATCCTGACGTCCACGGCCTGCCATGGCCAGACCATGCGCCGCGGAATCATTGTCGACGCCGGGTTCAAGGACGAGGAGAAAATGGACGACCTCCGGCTGCATCTCTACGCGATGCTCGAAGGCGGGCCGGCCGCAGACCTGCATCTCTACGCGATGCTCGAAGGCGGGCCGGCCGCAGACCTGGCGGCACGCCTTGGGGCGTTTAGCTGCCGCAGTGAAAAGTGCAGGGAGTAAACATGGAATTCTAGGCCTCGCTCGCTTGCACTAAATATAAGCAGGTTTAACCATTTTGTCGAGCGCCGCGGCGACATGGCGCAAGCAGCGCTGCATCTTGAG